TTATTTATGTACTAGTAAATTTTATTCAAAGAATTTTAAGCGTTTATATTTTTTTACTGTATTTATATTGAAATCATTTTTATTGTAGTAAAAATCATATATGTAGAACAGAATGTTGTATGTATTAAAATGTTTACTCCGATGCGTTCAACATCTGGTCGGCGTTAAGTGGAACGTACTACGGGTGTATCAATGTTGGTTTTGTATGGGGCTGGGTTATCTAATACTTTTGAATGAAACTAACTTTAAAATTGTCGTTTATCAAAAACGAATATAAAATTTCTATTATGAGCTTTGATCGTATTTATAATTTTCATATCGAAATACTTCTCGTGAATCCCTTAAACATTATAATTATAATTTTATATATATGTATTTGTCTTCATTATATGGAAAATGTTATATGTACTCCCAATTTTAATCCATTTAAAGCACATTACATAGACAATTTATATAATTCTTAGTAGTAATAATTTAAATACTATATTAATTTTTACTTGCATTGCCTACCACTCAACATGTATTTAAAAAGTATTAATTAGATTCTAAGTTTGTACATCAAAATACATAATTAAATCTAGATCAATCATATGAAATTTTATGAATATATATTTTTGACTAGGGCAATCTCTAAGAAAAATAGAATTTAGAAATTCAACCCATATTAATAAATTCTATACATGAATGTATTAAATGAACTTTCACAAATATCAAAGAAAAAATATGAAGACACTTGCATAGAACTAAACTTGGATAAAGACAATTTCTATTAGGAGTAACTCCTTACAACACTACAAGAGTATTAATTGTTGTTAACTTCACATATAAGAAATTTGTCACAAATTAAGTCAAAAGCTAATACAATAACTTGGAACATCACACAAACATATTAAATATTTTAGGTACAAACAATGTAATTGGGGTATTGTTGATATTTTATAAATATTATCTAAGAGTTTTCATAAGGCATACTGTCAAATAAGGTCAATGACCTAGCAACATAAGCAATAGTCTTCTCAAGATCATATCAAATTATGAGAAATTCTTATGTTGGTACACCTTGTTGGTTAAAAGGAAAACTTCTTTCTATGGCAAAAATAGAGAATCATTAAACTCTTGACACTAGATGCCAATATGAAAAATATAAAGTTGAAATTGTTAGATGTTCTTTAAGTTAGTTATTGGAAGAAAAACATTTCAGATCTCTAGAAACTAATTTTCCTAAGAAACGAGGAAATATGGAGATTGTATAATGAATTATGTATAAAGGGTGTACAAAGTTTACTAAATCTTTGAATAGACCCTAAGAGTTATCAATTATCATGAACAATAGATAATATCTAAGGATTGACATACATATGTGTATATGTATAAAACAAAGTTTATAAGCTGAAACTGAGAATTTTATATAACATATTGTTTGAATGTAGTTTATGAATGAAATTTTGTGTACTATGACAATTTAATACAAAATAATTATTATGCAATTGGTAATAATACATTAAGTGACCTTATACAAGAATATATACAAAATAAGAAAATTCTTTATTAAAAAATTGTATATGAAATTGATACATATTAATTAAAATTTATTACAATATGTCCATCCATTAATTAATAAATTTCCTTTCAAAATTTTCATTGTTGTTGATCATCGCATAACAATAACATATATATGAAATAATTAACAAAGGAACATTTTGATTACAATATAAAAATGAGGCCTGAGAGGTCACCGAATATAATCAAACCATGTTAATGCTTTATCAGGTTGGAACTAGACATTGGATTATATGTACAAAACTATTATATATACATATACATATATATTTTTTCTAATCACGAATGTTGTGTTATACTTATGATATATAGTAACAGAATGCAGTAACAAGTTGATCCGATTGTGAGTCATCTTTAAATAATAGTTTCTAGGATCTGAACAAGACATTTCACATAACAGAATTATAGATACTTATACTGATTTCAAATTTCACTTGAATAACCTGACTACTTAAAAGGCATAAAATATGAGAAAATAGGAAATGTATATAAAATATGTATATAGTTATAACTGTGTGTAATATTGCTAAGCCGATTTAAATAACCTATTGAAACTCACCAGCAACTTCTAAAAGTGTTTCGAGGCGAGCCTGCATCTCAGGGTCAACGGCCCTTTCGGGGTCATCGTGAGACAGAAGGAACTTGGACGACTCTGTACCGCCACCTTCCTCCTCCATCTCCGCCTAAAAATATTATTACATACATGTATTATAACTATAAACATGTTTTGTTATTTATCTACATATGCTTAATTTGTAAATAGAAAGAGTTACTATGTCAACAAACAAAATTTAACACCCAAGCTATTTGTTAACATACAAACAAACATATATTGGTCTTGTTTTTATATATATATATGATAACTCTGTTATGTTATGTTTAATAGTTAACATTGAAAAATTTTAGGTTAGTTTCATATGTTAGTCATCATTCATATCTTAATGTAGTGTAAACAGACCATTAAAAATAATCATGGAAAAAAAATCTGAGTACTGTAAATAAGCATTGGAAGCTGATGCATATATTATGTATGTTAGAATCACAAGGACCATTCATTATTAAAAACAAAACAGTATGATATTGTAATGTATCCAAGGCACACACATTATGCATGTTAAGCACTCCAACTGCTCAAGCTATTGGTGTTGGTGAAGCTACATCTGCACCCGGTAACATCTTCAACTTACCAACAGGTCTGGCCTGCTAAGGCACAAACAAGCCAGCAAGATCTATAACACCAATGAGAAAAATGTGAGACATACTGACAATGTGGTGCTTGGAGGCGACCTTACGACTAAACGATTCTGAAAATGGTCCTTGTAATTCACCAATAGCCAACATTTTTGCGCGAATCGTTGCTGCCACAGCGAAAGACTCGTGTACGCATGAAGGCACAAAACACAACATCGTTCGAGATAATGACAACTAATCCGGTCAAAAATTATATAATTCTCGTATTCATGTTGAAATAACGTCACAAAAACACAATATTCAGCACTTTGCATTGACTTATGCATGTGATTTAGGAAACATGGCCACCGTAGAATGAGCCCTCTCCAAAACACAAATAGACAATGAAAAGTGTCTTACGGTAATTGAGCCCGTATCGTAGAATTACAAAGAATCAATTGAATATCGTCTAGGAGCGACGGGCATAAATAATTTCATGCATTACTCAGTGAGACGTATGTACCTTTGACTTTCTGACGTTTTACGGAATATTTGGCAAGCGACTTGTACCGTAACTAGAATGGTTAAATTTCTTTATGCATCGCGCTTTTAACGTTTAATAGGAAATATAAATGAACAAATGGCAATATTTATATAAAAAAGAAATTGTATGATCATGTCATGTACAAAATGTCCAAGCAGCATTTAGCGGTACAGATAATCACAATCCCTTACTACTGCCACCGCCTCAGCCGAAAACAAAACACGTTTTACCTCAGATACAGAGTCATCCTCGCTTTCCGAAGAGTCTGTCATGTATTTGGCAGGCGCTCCTGAATACGTTTCGGTTTCAGATTTGGCCGGACTCGAAGCCGAACTCTGAGGAGTGGATGATTTTACCACATCAAGTTGCACATTCACCTTATCGATATTTCGATTTTCAGACTGTCCGACATTCTGCATTTTTGTCCTAATCCAATATAACTTAATTAGTCTTTCAGTATCAACACTTTTTCTACGAAATTAACACGTTCTTATATTAGCAAACAAATTTATTTCGTCATTTAGCCAGGCTGATACCCGCCATGTCTACTACTATGGCGAGGTTCCCGGATGCTTCAAGTAGGCTAACCAATTATCTCCCTCTGGCGATCAAATTATGAACTTTTTTGTGCTGCCATCTGCGGTAAAAAATGCAATCTTTAAATAATAGACAACTTTTATTCTTTATTATGAAAGGAGACTAGCACTTTTACACACTAAAACTTTTATGTATGAAGTATAATGTGCTAGAAAACATTTTTAGTGTAATATATAAAATATTCCTATCCTAATGCCAGTAATATAAAAATATAAAAATGCCACTTAAATTAGATTTCAAATTAAATATTATAATTTATACAATGATAAAAGACTATAAATTTTGTCATAAAATATAAATAATAGTTTATCAAATAATGAGGAAATTTAAATAAATAAAGTCGAAGACATAATTTTTAAGTTTTTAAAAGATATTTTCTTACAAGTACTAAGTTAGAAATTTTATTAAGAACGGTTGTAAAGTAAACCAAAAATAAAATCATAGTTTATCCGTTATGGTGTGTACTTAAAAATATTACTCACAGTGATGAATTTAATGTAAGAGATGCATATTTAAAATACAAGACACCGTATTCTAGGAAAGATGATCTTAAGAAAAAATATCATCCTTTCAAAACATATTTTCTATTAAATATTGTTTTTTTAATGGAAGGTTTTTTATGAATATATCCAAAAACTATACAATTGAAATTTATGGACATAAAAGATTTAATATAATATGAATATTTAAAAATAGTTGGTTTAATGAAAAAAATAAGTTTATTATAAAATTGTGAACAATTTTACTTATGACCGAATATAGTAACTAAAAGTATCTAACTAAAACTTAAGTAGTAGCTAGCTTGTGAAATAATATCCATAATTAGTCTTTCTCACTCTGTTACCGAAAGACGGTTTGACGGTATTATTGAAGTATGGAAAAATGGAAAATGGTCGGAAAATATTTGTTTTTCAGACGTGAACTTGATTATCGACGCCAATTTTCGGTGATTATATTTTGTTAAATATTAAGTGTTTATTTTACATTTATAAGAAATGTGGAGTTACATAAATCGCGTAGTTTTTACGCATCATAATGTTAGCGCTGTAAATTCAATTTACTGAATCCACGTATCGGAGTAAAATATAAGATATAATAAAAATGTTAACATAGTAAGCCAATAAGAAATATGGCTAGAGATGGGGACGTGCCTACTATTTTCAATCCTAAGAGAGTACGCACGCCGTCTGTTATAATAACTAGCGAAGAAGTGGAAAGTGAGCAGGGCGGTGATGTTGAGCGCGACCGTCCAAACGGGCCTCCGACGCCGATAAGTCCTAGGGCGCCGCTGACTCCGCAGACTTCGGTGTCGTCAGCTCCACCCTTGACCACCCAGCCGTCACTACAGCAGGCCTACAGCGAATCTGCAGCAAGCAGTCAGGATGAAGAGCGCCAATTACGAGATAAGAAGTGCCCGCGTTCATGCTGTTCCAAAGTAGCCAAAAAGGTATGAATGTTCAATCATTATTATATGCATTACAATTGACTCCTGTTCCATGAATTAAAAATATTATATGCATTTGTATGGTATCCCAATTTACAATATTTTCAGATTTACTATGGCCTCTGTGTCACAACAACGATTGTTGTTTCCTGGGTGACTGTCACCCAATCCATAAAATACATGTATCTTCAGAAGTATTCACATGCGGACATCTTTTTGGGTGGTACAGAATCGCCAATTAATAATAATTATACATCTAGAATTCCAACACATGTAAGTCAATGTTTTTTTTTATAGATTAAATAACATTTTAATTTAATTCATTTTATACAATTTATATAAATCTTCTTTTTCATCCTTATTTTCATTATATGTTTTCTATGAATTGTAGCTAAATAAGTAATATTCTTATTAGATGCTTATATCATTATGGACAATTTTATAATATTTTTAAAATATATTTTTCCACATTTATTGTCAAAAATAAGTCTACTTAACTATTTATGGTAAAATTAACAAAAAGTTTTCTTATTTCTTTTTCCAACTTATTGGAACTCCTTTTTAATATAATAAATCTTAATTTTTATTTTATCTGTTTCAGCACCATTTCAATGCCCCATTCTTCACTGCATGGTTCTGTACAAACTGGCTTATATTTTTCTACCCTCTTTACTTAATAATTATGCTTATTCACAACAAATGTAAATCAGCTAATACCATTGTGGGTGATGCTTTCACGGACTTTAAGGAAAAGGGATTCACTTTTGGTAAGTACCCATCTATAATACATAAACATACATACATGTATATATGTGTATATAATATAAAAGGCCATAAGATTCTCCATTAACATACAAGTAACTTTATAAAGTATATTATTAAAACAGTAGCATAATTTCAGTACTATAATATTTAATATTATTTCCAGCCCGATTTCTAAGTCGTTGCGGTTTATTCTGCTTGTTGTGGGTGGTGACCATATATATGTATACATATGCCTTGAAGATACTTCTGTCTACTGATGTGGTAGCATTGTTTGCTACTAATGTGTCCTGTGTGTATCTTCTATCTTGGGTGATACTCCATGAGCAGTTTGTTGGTGTGAGGGTAGGTTAACAAAGTCTATATATACTTATGTTAATGAGATATAGAGTGATTTTTTTTTATATAGAAAGAAAGTTTCTCATACAAATCTACTACCTCCAGAACATTGCATACCAGTTGTTTTGATCATCAAACTGAATTATGCATTCTATATATTTAAATATCACAACAGAAGTGTTATGTAAGAATTTTCTCACATAAATCTTAATTATTTCATATATTATTATACATTACATTACATTATATTTATATTTGGAATGTATGTTGAAGGCAGCCCTAGTAGGTTCTTTTCAAATTTGGTTAGGTAGAGAGAGGAGCTTGGACAGTGGAGGTGAGCGTATAACGCGTAAGATAGGTGCCCCTTAATCCTACACCTGGGTCGCAAGTCCTAGGCACTGTTGAAGCTCCTCTCCCTGTAATAATGGACCCGGCACCCGCACGGTGAATCCATTGAATGCTAAGAGGTTTCTTTAAGAGGTTTCTTCTCTCTTTGCAGTAATATTAAGATGTAACTTTATATAAATTGTTAATTAATTTGTTATTCTATATCCAGATAGTGGCGGCCATCCTGTGTGACACAGGTATAGCTCTCCTAGCATATATGGATGGTATCACGGGTAGTTCAACATTGGGTGGTGTGGTGCTTGCCGCTTGTGCTGCCGCTGGGTTTGCTATATTCAAGGTATGTGAACATGTTTTGTTGGAAAGCATTCTGGCTATGAGTTTGGTTGGTTTGGTAGACTAATATATATGTTAATGAGATTTCGGACTTTTGGGAGTAAATTCATTTAATATTTTCGGATTTTTAGTTATGTATTTAAAACTACGAACTCTCGAGGTTTCGGTTATTTTGCATCAACCATCATCACAGACAAACAATATAAGATGAGATCTCATCTCATTGATATAGTTTTTTTTTTTAATATTATATTTTAGTGTGTTATATATCAATATTCATATAAGTCATTATTTGTATGTTATTTATAGCCAGCTTTTTGTTCAAACTAATATACTTACTGTGATTTAAATGTATATATACTGTGTGTGTTAATTAATAATTATCAGAACAATAATCTAGCGTAAATTAAAAAAGAATTAACAGAATGGCGTGACAAGACGAAGGTCAATAAAAATATTAAATTGATTCTCTTTTTTAAACTATTTTGCTGTACATATTTATTTTTATTTAAAATTCTAAAACTTCGACATCCCTACTAATATTATAAATGCGAAAGTAACTCTGTCTGTCTGTCTGTCTGTCTGTCTGTCTGTCTGTCTGCTACGCTTTCACGCATAAACCACTGAACTGATTTTAATGAAATTCGGTACAGAGATAGAGTTGACCTTGAGAAAGAACATAGGATAGTTTTTATCCCAGACTTTTGAAAGGTTCTCTTGGAAACGCGATATAACCGAACTCCACGCGGCGAAGCTGCGGGCGGAAAGCTAGTTATTAGTATATATTTTATTTTTTATAATGTAAAGTTTTATAGTTATATAATAATAAAAAACATTTTGAGAAAAACATATTATTATGGGGCTTTAAGAACAAGGTGAACGAATGTCGTGGGTTGATACCTAATATGGGGCAATATCGATATTTTATAGACGAACCAGTTCATAATAAAAAATATTGATTACGTAAACACAAAGGAGGTTTTATGATTTTTCCAATATATGAAACATAAATGTTTATTTTTAGAATTCAATTGATTTAAAAATAATATCTCTATGGCAAGAATATTAAAATGTATAGATTTCTGTATATTTCTTCATTTTGTATATTATTGTTATTAGGTGCTCTGAAATAGAGTATATTTCAATAATTTTAATACTAATACTTTAACTTAATACAAAAACGTAGATCAATGTACAAAATTTTAAACCACTTGCTCCAATATTTAAAATATTATGTGACAAAGAAGCTAATGACTGTTAAATGTTAATAAAAATATACTATGATATTTATCTTTGATCGTTTTACGTTTAACTAACAACGAATGTTATTCAGTCGTTAAATATTGGTTATCAATACAGATTATACAAAATACAGATCAAAAATAAAACAATATTTCATAAGATATTATCTGTGTACATTAAAGTGAAATATGCTATGCTTAAAATCACATATGTTATGTCAAATGTTGCTATATAAAATACATTAAAAATTCTAATGTTTTATTTAATAAATTTTATTATGTTGTAGAAATGGTAATACTATTTTGTTACCCGACAAATCGTAAGTGTAACTTACTTTAAATTATTGCGTGCCCATTTTAATTCGTGGCTGGTTTTTTTATAACGTCCAATTAAGTCAAGATAATTGTGGGCCGATAGTGTCGCAAGGAAATATACATTTAGATGTTTTGACTTGGAACAATATAAAAACTAACAGCTGCGTGTTACACGAACGTGCACAGATTAATATGAAATGAAAATAAATGCAAGTTATAAATTATTTTTGCTTTTTTAATAGTTTGATGTTTGAAACACATAAACATATCATGTAAAGCGTTTATATGTAAAAAATATCAAATAACGTCAAAAATATGATCTTTTTGGGTATGAATGATACTTTTAAGTATTAATTCAGCTTAGGAATTGTATACAATTATTTTAAAACGCACATTCATCAGTACGTTTATCCCAAGTTTGCGTCGTCACACTACGATAATACTGAAGGTTTAATAGTTTTTCATTCATAAAATACTATATTATTGTATAAGTTACAAAGTAGGTTATTCAATACGAATAACAACCGTTTTTTATGTAGTTTTAAAAAGCAAATTCATACTAAGCATAGAAATCTTTCACACATTACTAATAGAAAGTTTCTTGAATACTTATATTACATTCACTAACTTACGTCGATAGATTAATGATAGAGTATCTAGTAACTCTCTAAGTAGTGTGACGATGTATTTTATGTGTGTTAGTGTATTGAAACATTGACTACAATGATAGTCACGTGACTTGACTGTGTGTGTGTGTGTGTTTTAAAGTGTTGTATGTGTGTGTGTGTTCCGCAGGTACTGTTCCGTAAGGTGATGGGCGAGGTGAGTAGCGGCCAGCGTGCGTTGTTCTTCTCTGTGCTGGGCGTTGTGAACGCGACCTTACTGTGGCCGGTCAGTCTTGCTCTATGTCTGACTGGCGCTGAACAGCTACCGGCTTTGAGGATGCCCTGGGTGCCGCTGTTGTTGGCCAGTGTTGCACTGCTTGGTATGTACATATACTGTTATATAATAACGAATATAAAGTCTATGGTGGCCTAGTGTTAAAAAGGCCCGCCTCTCATGCATGATGGCGCGGGTTCGATCCTGGTCATATACCAATGTGATTTTTCCGAGTCATATCTACTTTCTAAGTATTTAGACACCACTGATTAATGCATTCACAAAGAGGGTTGATGTCATGCAGGCGGCCGGTCGTAAAATCAATTAGCCAAAACTATTCACAACATGTAAGGCAGACCCTGGCAGCTGGCTATAGCTGGGAAATTGCCAGGTAGAAGAGGGAGACTAATGAATATTCTTTGAGTTTTGTTTCTGATGTGTGTTTGTTTGTTGAACTAATATGTACTTGAAAAATTCTTATGTATAACTAGTTTTTGCCCGCGACTTCGTCTGCGTCAGTTTCATAATTAGAAATGTATAGATGACCACGCAAACTGATTCGATTTAGAGGCAGTAAATTAACAGATTGTGGATTTTATTAGTATTTTTTTTTGGTCAAATGAATTCAAAAGTATCACATCAGTATATGTCAATAGCCTTATTCCAGCCTACCTACCTTCCCACAAATTTCCAGCCAAATCTCTTCAGTCTTTCTTGAATTATAAATACTGTAACTAACACGACTTTCTTTTACATATTATAGATTAGCTGTGCCCGCGACTTCGTTCGCGTGGAATAGTGACTATGAGCAGCGTTTTTTTTTAAATATATACTTATTTTTATTTTGGATCATAATCACAGTCATTTTGGGTAGCATGTAAGCATAGAATAGTGTTCGACGTTATTCTTTAATTTGACATAACTTTTTTATTTATGAACCGATTGACATGAAACAAACACTAAAGCATAACTGAAGCATAACACAATATATTCGTCAAAACCGCATCCAACTCGGGTCAACCGTTTCTGAGATTAGCGTGAACAGACAAACAGACAAAAAAAAAGTTAATTTTCTTTTCTACAATTTTATTATATGTATAGATATGAATAATTCTTTGATACGAATTGGATTCGAACCTACAACCCGTTGACGTTTCTTTTACAAATATATCTTGTTGAATTTTATATTTATTTATAGTGTAGTAAAATTTTATGTATTGTTGTTCATGCATATATTCAATCCTAATAGTATTCCCGTTGTTTATAACTGGAGTTCTTGAGTTTTATTTCGTATATAGGTCAAGGTCGTTCGTTATCCGAGAACTCTCTAGAGGCACCTCAAGTAGGGCTGACGGAAATTAAGATAAATAAAAAGTAGACCATTGTTTACAGCTACCTAGAAAGATACAAGCTAAATCTTGGGGTTAGGATATAAAATTAAATAATATATAGGAATAGATATATGTTGAGAGTTGTGAATGAATATTTTTGGATCTCTTAATGTGTCTCCTTGACCTGTATTTTTGGCGTATATATTTTTCGGTGTATATGATTTATGACATTAACGTTATTTTCACATACATATAATATTATGATAAATTTGACATTAAATTAAATCTATAACTAAAATATTATAATTTACTATTTAAAATAATTATAATATAATCGATGATAATAGTTTATGTACATTTATACAAACCCGTTGTATTACAGCCATACTACATTATTATGATTATTAAATATCATTCTTTTTCCTGCAATGGTTCCACTTTATGTAGGGTCGGCACAACATGTTCTTCTCTTCCACAAAACATGTTGTAAATAGTATTAGCTAATTGCTTATACGACCGGTGGCCTGTCTGACATCAACCCTCTTTGGGAATTATGATTATTAATGTGATATATCTTAAATGTTTTAATCCTTTTTGCGGTTATTAAGTTAATTACTCGGTTAAAAAGGATAAATAAATTATGTATTAAAAAACATCCCCAAAATGAGCTGGCCTCGAACCCGCTACAACTGCCAGTGAATTACCGTCGTTGTAATACCTGAGCTATAACGTTCATACTTATATGAGTGTTAATATCATTATAATTTATTAATGCATATGTAATATTCGTTTCAGTTTTCCACCTCGTGTTCCAGTTCGGCAACCTCATGACCTACAACATCTTCGTGTCCTTGGGGCTCATAGCGGCCGTCCCAGTATCTGCTGGTCATTATAACTAATGATTATTGAGAAACTAGCTGCGCCCCGCGGTGTTACCCGCGGATTTCCGGGATAAAAAAAAAATAAAAATAAAGTAGCCTATGTCTTATTCCTGGACGTCAGCTTCCTGGTTACAAAATTTCATTAAAATCGGTCTAGCCGTTTGAGCGTGAAGAAGTAACAAACATACACACACACTCACAAACTTTCGCAATTATAATATTAGTAGGATATACTTATTATTATTATAGACAAAGTTTAATAACTTACAAGTAGCTGAGCAGGTTATAAAAAACAGCATTTTTGTTCAAAATTTCTTCATAAAAATTGATACTTAATACTGAAGTAGTAGTGTTATAACTTAAGTATGTATCAAATGTTTCAACTGGTTTATAAGATAACGGTTACAGACACGGGAGCGTTCAAGTATTACGTAACGCATTTTGGGGGAGGGGGGGTCTCGTAAAACGTTACGATGCGTTACTGGGGCGGGAAGGGGTGTCTCTTACAAAACGTTACGTAGCATTGTTTCTAAAAAAATATATTAATAAAAACCCCCAAACTGGCAACTCTTTTCATATACGTTACATTGTTGGCCAGATTGTATTAGTCTGGTCGATATTTTTATTTGTTATTCCAAGTTTGCAAACCTCTTAATTGATATTTTACGGGGAATACCTAGATTGCATTGTAAGTCTTTTGATGCAATTGATCACTTGAGTGTTACGTAACGTTTTGAGAAGGGGGGGGGGGGGGCTACAGAGAAACGTTACTGTGCGTTACGACGGGGGAAGGGGGGGTCAAAAATCTTCGAAAATTGCGTTACGTAATACTTGAACGCTCCCCACACATAGTATTATAATAAAATGGCTTTAATATGAATGTTTTCAGAGAAAGTTATAGAAAAACAGAAATTTTCTTCAAGATTTCTTCATATATATTTAATACTAAACTATGTACTAGTGTTATAATTTAAATATTAATTCAATTTCAAAGGACACATAGTATTATTATATAATATCTTTATTAAATATTAATGTATGTGTTAGGTCTGGACGTGGTGTTGTACGGTGTTGAGTTCGAGGGCATGAAGCTGGCGGGCATCATACTGATAGCTGTGGGCTTCTTCCTCGTCATGTTCCCTGACAACTGGCCCGACTACATCATGAGGTTGCTACGGTGAGACTTACACTTATATGATATGGTGGAGGAAAATGTTGTGGAAGGTTTCAGTCAGAATATTTAACTCATCAAGTTGCAATAATAGCGTTTACAGCGTATTTTCTTATTTTATTTTATCTATTTGAAACACCATCGGCATATTCACAATTAAACACTTATGTAATAACAGTACACGGACCAGTGCAGTGTGATACACCACTACAGGCATTAAAAGTTATAAGGTTGAGCCTTAGGGCTGAACGCGTTTTAACTTTTTTTTTTTTTTTATTATTGTAATAAAGAATATGACCGATATCCTACTTTCAATGTAATTTTCACTTCCCTGTTCATCGAAAATAGAAAAAGCGCTATAAAATTTATATTAAACATAATATTGCCTGGCGCTTTAAATAATGGATAACTTGTAGTATATTCTTGCTGTCTACTCTCCATTTATATCAAATAACAATAAAAAAAGGAGATTAAAAAAATGGTCCCATTTATTCCACATTGAGTAGAACTACCCATATCTATATATATAAAAGAAAGTCGTGTTAGCGACTGCACTTATAACTCAAGAACGGCTGAACCGATTTAGCTGAAAATTGGCAGGGAGGTATTTTAGAACCAGGAAATCGCAATAGGATACTTTTTATCCCGTTCTACAGCATTCCCGTGGGACTTGACATGAAACGTCAGTCACTATAAAACGTGGAATAACGAAACACAATTGACAGCTATGCAATTGACGTATAATGACAGATATGTAATTTAGTATTTGCGGGATAAATTTAGAAAATCATTGTTTTTCACATGGGCAGTTATAGTTTGTGTATTCACGAGTTAGGAAACCAACCGCTTTATTTGTGTTAACGTTAGAACAAAAAACAAAAAATGTGGTTTACAAAGGAGTACTTCAATGAAACGGATAATTTGCGGACACGTATAACGCTTCGATTCGGTATCTACTTTGGATTCACTTTCATTTACTTAGAGAAGTTCAATTAAATAACACTTTATTTTTGTAATCGAAATGAATTCATTACTGTTGTGAAATGAAATAAAAATTTTCCTTATCAAATATAAAACAAAAAAAATCTTCATCTTTTAATCACCAAACGAAATGTTACATAAAACAAAGCCTTCTGGAGGCGAAACGGAGTTCGCCAGGTTTACTAGTTAATGATACAAACAACTTCGTATTGTAATATGTATCTTATATTGTTTGTTTCCGAACGCAATTGGTAGTGTCGCGAGACTTAAGCTGAGCTTTGCATTTGTGTGAATGAAAGTAAAAGTAGATATAGACAAAAAACTTTTAGAATTATTTTTTTTTATATTTTAAATAGATACATAACTACTAGAGCTATTCTATATAAAATAAATAAGCTAAACTTGTAAAAGGCAAGATGTAAATGTTATGAATATTATGGCAAAAAATAAATATTATTATTGAAAATGTTGAAAATATTCTTCTTCACTTGAAGTGCGGAAGGTGTGGGGCGGAATAAAAGCAGTTTAAACCGGTTCAAACCTAGAAAAGAACGAGGCATTTACAAATCTGACATCGCATATACACTATCCGTGTACACTCACATAAATGCAAAGCTCAGCTCATGTCTCGCGCACTATACTGTCCTGTATAGTATCGTATGTCACGGAACTTCTCTCAAACGACTGGACCGATTTTGATGAAATTTTTTGTGTGTGTTCAAGGGGATCTGGGAATGGTTCAGATTCACAATTTTGTCAGCTGGACAGTGTTTTTTAATTTATTAGAAGTTGTTGATACAAACGTTTTTTTTACATTAGATTTGACAACTAACTATTATGTCAATCATTCTGTCGCACTTCAAAACACGGAGATTTATGGCTTTAATAGATAAACTCCAAAAATATAAATAAAAAAACGTAACAGATATTTCTTGATTCTAATATACATATATACAGGGTGACTGGTGAATTACTATCGATATTTGAGGACATGATATTTGACGATCATATATGACAAAATAAAAATTAATATAACATAAATATTAATAAACTTCTAAGTAAAGTTAACCAAAAGTTATGTAATTAATTACGCATCGTGTGCACACCCTACAGATTAGGTATACACTCACACTCACACATACGCGTGTCGCGACGTGGTGTTGTATCAGCACGCCGCCGCACGCGTCCACACTTGAACACTTGGAACGTGTCAACACTTTACTTATTTATACGGAAATTTTGTCAAAAATTAAGTGCCTATTTTTTTTACATAATTCGAATGAGAATCATGTACCGAGTATTCTCCTTAAATATTGATAGTAATTCACCAGTCACCCTCTATATGTATGTTCGTCACACAGGTGGAGCAGAAGTCGCCAAACAGCGCAGGCCGGCGGCCGGCGTCGAGACGCCGTCGACTATCGCACCGGGTACATACGGTCACATCTGAGGTCACCTTCGGGCAGGGTGCGGTGACCGGACACACAACAAGAGATAGAGTAGGAGAGGGGGAAGGGGCGGGGCTTAGAGGGAGAGGGGGCGGGCTTAGAGGGAAAGGTTAGTGCTGGATGAGAGTTAGTAGACTTTGAGTATTGGTGGAAACGTAGCCTTAATGGTTACTTGGTTATAGTGTTGTTGTATGTCGATGTTGGTTAATGTTGTTCAATGTTGAACATCAGGTGGCGTTCGTTTAATTCTAAACTAATTTTACGATTATTGAATACAACCGGTTTTGTGTCCGATTATTTATAAATGTTTTTGTACAATGTTGCCATCGTCGAGTTATGATTCTTTAATACAGCGGTGATCAGATTTTTAAACGGTTTTATAGCAATACATTTTCTAGTCGATTATTCTAGGCTACATGTGAATAGTGACGAGATGTTTTAAAGTATTTAATTGAACATTAAGACTTGATCTCACAGCGTTAGGATAGACATGCAATAACCTACAAGCAACCCTGCCATCACACGACAAATAATTTGATAACCTTTATCATTATCGCACCTTTTGATGAATTACGAATTAGATAACTTTTTTGTAATAATCGGAAGTTTCTGCGAGAATCGATGTTAAAATCGATTTTAATTTTATTCGGATCTCTATCGAATCATCACATGTATTGTATTATTATGTTATTAATTATATTTCGTTGTCATATAGTTTCACGGCCGTCCTCTCGTGTCAAATAATGTCTTTATATTAGAAGAAATATGTAATAATCGTTATAAAATGAGAAATACACAAACTTATTATTAATGTTTCATAACTGGTAGATAACATAAAATTTAGATACACCCTTTTTTCTAAATCGGTAAAAATTTCTTCGTATCTCTCTCGTTTGTATGTTAATATTTCATGTAACTCTAGTGTATATAGCGTCTTATGGAAGCTATACTAAATTATTCTTATAAATAATTCCATACTAAAATCTAATGAAAATTCTTATCTTCGATACAAGAAAAATTATTGCACTCACAATCTTTTTAATGATATTGGACTTTAATAGAACAGTTATACCACACCAAAGAGGTTATATATGTGGTTAAATGAAACCCATGTAAATACATAGATTGTATTTAGGTGAAAGCACAAGTTCATGGGGACGCTTAGTTGTCTGTCGGCGAGCGACGTCGGGTTACGATACTAGTCTTTGATCTTAATGATAGCTGCCTCTTAGATATGTATAGTACCGATGTTACGGCTTGGTCACTTGGATATAATATAATTAAATGATTCCTAATCGATGTTGTGATAGTAGCTAGATTAGAGACGAGTGGAGTCGGGAGAAGGACATAAAGCAATTAAATGACGGCTTCCTAACAACGGATATATAAACGAATTTGATATTAAAAAAAGACGAGAATATAATTTTAGTCAGGGTAACACTTAGACTAGTGTTTAGTACTAGGTTCGTATTTATTTTAATATCTATATATAAACACCGCCCCAATATAGACTGGTTATGTTCTAGAGGTCGCCTTGTTTTTTAACTCATATTAAACTCAATGAAGTATTTGATATATACCATTCTTTGCTTTAATATTTAAAAAAGTTTATATCGAAAACTGGACATTGAAGAAGGCACAACTCTGTTCTTAATAATATTGATTGATATGTATGGAAATTACTTTAATAATAATTAATAGGCCATCCTTTATATATTTTTTTGTTTTTTGCTAAAGGTTTTTTTTGTTATTATTTTGTGTATGAAAATCGTTATTATAGTCCTCGCTAATGCTAGTCACCTGCGGTATCGTATTATGTATCCTACGTGAAAGAAAAATGACTTGATTCACAGAAGATATTGAAGTACAAATAAATCCGCAGATAGTCATATTTATATACAGATATCTCAATAAATGTTTTAAGTAAATTATTATTTTCTTGTGTGAACGAAAATTAATAGATGTTTATATATAAAACTAACTTATATCGTCATGAATTTTGTCAGATAAGTGAGCAAATGTTTATTGATACGTATATTAATACAAAATGAAAAATGCGTCAGATTTCATTATATTTTTTTCCAAAAAATTCACCATATTTCTTCAGTTTTTTTTACTAGTTCAAAGTTAGTCTTACACGTTGGGCAACTATTGCATAAATAAAATAATATATACTTAAAAATGGAAAACAAGCATACTATATATTTAATAAATCTATAAATTTTTTGTTCATTCACAAATACTAAATATATTTTTAAAAAATGCAGGTATTTTATATTTAAAATACGCATGTATGTACTTTAAATTTAAATAATCTATACGTGTTCATACTGTAATTTTCACCTATACTTCTGAGAAAGAAATCGTAGTATTGTCAGTCTCATCTTAAGATATTTACATCGAGTGAGTTAGATGCAGCTCACATTATACCAGGAGTTTAGTTTCATTACCATCAGGACTATAATAAACGATTTCCTATTTTTTTCAAATCCAAAGACTTTATTTTTCAATATATACATATACTATGTGAATAGACATTTACAAGTGTTTTGCTATTTAAATTTATTTGTTTCTTTATTATTTATCAATAAAATTTCAATGACGTCAGAATTTCATATCTCCATGGTGTTTTTTATATATTAAAGATGGAAGTATTGTGCGGTAGAGCCCATAGAAGCGATGTCTCCAATTGAAACAGTTTATACTGTTGAGGAGAAAACTATGAGCTTCATAGAGAAAACGAATAGTAAAATGGAATGTTCCTGAAATTATTTCCGTAAAATGGAATATTCCAGAAGCTATTTCTGTAAAATGGAATATTCCAGAAGCTATTTCGTTTGAAAGCTCGTGGACAGGTTCTGGTGAATGAATTTCCATAATGCTAATGTTCGTGTTATTTAGCGCCGGTTTCGGGAATGGTTATTTCGGCGAGTTGGAGATATGATATAAAAAGATATTTTGTTTTTTAAAATGCTGTTTAAAAAAGTTCTAATATCTGTCTATCATAGTAGGATTCATTTATTATTTCCGGTATTGTTGAATAGTAAACAATAGCTAACGTGAGAATAATAAACATGTAGGTATGGTGCAGGCGGTCTAGGGAGGGAGGGGGGTTATGGAAAGTTCTAGAAAGATTTGTTATGGGGTTCGTGTGAAGCCATCTTAATATATCAAGGGAGGCTGCGGGGGTGGAATCTGATGTCAGTAATTATTCTCTATATACAATAACCGGGAATTTTGTTATGACTCGAGTTTCAAACATAGTATCCCTATATACATTCCTATGATTGATAAATAATTTATTTACATAGTATGTTAATATATGTTAAAATTATTACGATTATATGAACATTTATTTACAGCGTTCGGTGCCTTTAGGACTTGTTAATTCGGTACGAACGTAGATCTGTTCGTACTAAAGACCTTTACTTATGTATAGATAATTAAGTTGTTATAATTTGTATATAGTGAACTTGTATGAACAAGCTCAATTGAATTTGTTTTAAGAAGAAGTGCTATGATTCTACCTTTATTGTGATTTTATTCAGATCTCATATGAATTAATTCTGTACTATACTTGTCCCCAGGAAATGCTTTGTATTGTAATAGTTTGTAATATATACCACATGTTCAATTTCATATTTCCTGTGTTATATTATAATTTATTGAATTATTTATTTCTTATAATAATAATATCGATGAATCGTTAAATTTTTAAAGACTGAAATAAATCAAAGGAATGGACTAAATTCAATTACGCTGTCATTTATATTTAAGTGTAATATAGTTGTTAGGTTGTAACGTCTCGTATTGTTAGGTTAGGTGTTCGATCAAACAATGCATCTTTTTTGGCTCTCAACTTACCTACAAATACGTTGAAATTTACTCGATTTGAAGAGAATTTTATTCATGAAACTCCTTTTTTTATTGGAGTATTTGTGTTGAGAGCCTAAAGAGATGTCGCTTAGTGACACGTGATTAGAGCGCGAGTAGTACAATAACACATTGGCCCCTGTGATTCATTTTGTTATAACGTAGATGTAATATGTTGGTCATTAAAATGAAAATTTGACATAATGTACTTGTTTTATTTTACTAATACATTATACTTATAGTTTGGAAGTCACATCGTTAGTAATAATGCAAATCTTAGTAATTAACATTGGATAATTCCGCGTATCTACATTGGAAGAAGATTATCAGAAGAAAGTTTTGAAATATTTTCTAAATTAACGCGTTTTAAGGTAATTTTTTTACAATTTGTAATAAATGTAACACTAAATAATTGCTTATTGTGAAAAAATAGATACGCGGAATTATCCAGTGGTTTGATTTGCACTATCCCCGACGATATGTAGCTATGTAATAATAATTGACATGTGTATAATATTCTCTGTCAATTTGTATTTTCATAGGAAATTAAAATGATATCTTTGAATAGTAAGAATACATAAAATATCTTGAATTAACTCAAGTAAATCTAATTTAAACGAAGCTTTCATGTCAAGGTATTCCTTTAATTGTATTACATAAACGGTTTTACGTGAGGATAAATGATAATTCAAAGTCATGATACTTAATTTTGTTTTAATTCGTCATTGTAACGTATTTACAAGATCGTCATCTGTATAGTAAAGTATATGTTTATACCCTGACCTCACTCATGGGAGATGTTTGTCACCAAATAACATTTATATCTTTAGTAAGATCTCAGCTACCGTTGTGTACTCGGTCCCATCTCCATATAGTTCCGTCGTCGCAGCAAGTAAGTAGTATTTTGCCGTTTCGAGACAGAGTCACCTGTAATTGGAGAAATGCTCATAAAGTTTTGAGTTACAGCAAAATAATTACAATAAACCTTCATTACTTTTTTATGTCACTCTCACATATTTCTATCTGTATACTTATATTGTATATCACTTTACATAGTTAATCAACTAGAGTTTTCATTAATTCCGTTTTAATCCGTGATTTTATATCTTCCTTCATCCAATCCTTACTCTTTAACATTGTACTATATCTATATATGTGAATGTTAGTATATATATAGAAAACCAAGTGCATTTTATCACCTGTCTGACAGCGGCTACACATCTAGGATGCACCAGTAGCGACACTCTCGACCCTCCCGCCACGCCGCCTAGTTCCCACACCATAGTCTTACCGCACTGGTTGCCGAGAGCTATCACCTGCATATACATAAATAAATCTGCTGTTAATTAAGTCTTTTTATATACGCTAAAAGCAAGCAACAGAGCAGACGGCCCACCTAAAAAAGGTAGTACTTTCACCCATGAACATAAGTAACGTAGATTTGTGGATGTGTTCCCGCCTTTGTTTGGGGAAAAAGGGGAAGAAAATAGTTGGGAAAGGGAGGGAAAATCGGCTCTCTCACTCACCAGCCGAAACGAAGCCGTTAAAGACTATTTCACGCCGATTCTGATAATTCGGCCGATTTATAGCGGATACTTGGAAATATATTATGTACTTTATTATAGAGATCTATTGTAAAGCCATTTTTCTTCTAACGAGAAATGATAGATAGTTTGACTCTCGTTTAGACTGATGGTAAGTAAAAAATTTAATCACTCTTTACTCGAAAATCTCACCATTAAAAGTGGGAGGGAAAAGATAGAAAATTTGTCAGAATCTTTGCTAACAAGTAAGAAATACAAAAAAAGAAGCTAAACTTATGCTATCTATGAACTGGCAACACAAGCCTATAGAGGTATAAACTAGAACCCTAATTAAATCTGTTCATTAAATTATTATGAATAACTAAAATATTTGGAATGTAAATCAGCACTATTTTAAAACTAAAATATGATTTCTCTATTGATTTAATATAAACTAATAATGAGAATTAATGGGATATTTCAGAGGCGGCGTATTTAAGTCCAGTAATGTCTCTAAATTTATCATTTTACATTTACTACCAAAATGTTATTGGAATAGGACTAATTCAATATGTATATTTTTCAACAAATAAAACCTACTCAATTTTCCACAATAAAATTACAATAAGCATATAACTGCCTACTATTTTGATAAGGGTCACGAGTATTATAGTATAACCAGAAGTGGGTTCAATCCTTAACTCAATAAAAGTGTATATGATGAATGATTATGGATTGTGTGACTCACTCTTTGACTATAATCAACAGCAAATCTTATGAACCATATTTCACACTCCTTGTAGTCAAATCTGTGAACGATGGTCACCGAGTTATCTCCAGGTCTTAACTCTGTGTCCTCCAGACGACCAGGTTTCCAACATATGATTGCATTTTCACATGACTGAAACAGTTAATTAATAATTAATTATGTATCACTATGGTTGGAAAAACATATATGTACATAACTAGCTCACAAAGCCATCTATAGTCTATGTTATTATAACTAATTTTATTCTTATATCAAAGCATTACTAGAGAGTTCATCAAAATTGTTGATTTTGTTTAAAGAGTAAAATACATTACTACAAAAGCATATTTGTGATGTAAGTAGAAGTTAATAAAGTATGTTTAAACAAATTCTTTCAGTTGTTCTTGCTTTAAGAATAAAATACATCACTACAAAAAGTAAATTTAGTAGAAGTAGGAATTAACAAAATTGATCAAACATGTTTCATACCTTGGATAATATTAAATCCCCCATCCACCTCACACAATCCACATAGTTCCTATGAATATCTCTGGTTGAGAAGTCGGGGAAATGTTCTTTGAGTGAATTGAATGGCCGGAGTGCTCTGTGTGGGTTGAAACTATAACTTTGTTTGATGGCTTCATTCATACTGGGTTTATCCAGCCTCCAGAGTTTCAGTGAGTGGTCCATACCACATGACATTATCCTTTCGCCTTTTAAGTCGAAATCGGCGCTGAGGACCTCGTCTCTATGACCTTCTACTCCACCGAAAATGGCGATACAGACATCCGTCATTATATTCCATAGACGTAAAGCATGATCCTTACTCGCAGATAACAACAAATTCGGATCGCGAGGATGAAATTTGACTTCATTGATAGCATGACCATGGCCTATGTAGTGCTTTATACATGTTTGGGTTGCGGGATGAAAAATTCTCACTATCCCACGGGAACCTGCCACGGCTAGGAGTGGTAAACCAGTTTCTTCTTCATACGACCATGCACATGTGTAAAATGTCTCATCAACCTAAAATTTTAATTAATTAACAGTTTATTTGTACATTACATGAAGTATAAATACATAAATAAATCTTAAATATATGTAACCTATCTTATTATATATATATGTATACATATGTGTAGTAAGAATATTGAAGCTTTAATAAGAAACAAAGTATTATTTCAAGTACCAATCATAATACTCTACAAAAAAAAGATCAAATCTATTGTTTAACTGTAGTTTATTATAAGATTACTTACATCAGGATCAGCATAACATTGCAAAAATTTAAATCCTCCCGATTCTGGGCATTCATATATAGAGACTCTGTTGCTGCCGACAACAGCAAATATTTGAGGTTCCCCTTCTCTAAGGTGATGGTTGAATTGACAACCAAACAGAGGTTGTCCATGATCCTCCTTAGCACTACAACTGAATTATAAGGAGACAATTTTACTTGAGATGTTTTATATATTGTCAAAATTATTATTATACACAACTTGCATTTTAGTTAATAAAACCTGATATATTTATATTAAAATTGTACATTAACATTGTTTTTGTCTTACACCAAAGAAAATGATTACAAATATTCTATTAGGTTATCCCAAACATTGTTTCATTTTTTGTTTATACTATATGTCTTTTTCACAAGTCTAAGCAGTATAGAACATTATTTATGAATGCCAATACTTCTTTGATAGCAATTTGATTTTAAAATGACTTTAACTTATATTAGGGTGTACTTACTTGAATTTATACGGAGGTTTAACTTGCTTAGTAACAGCCTTTTTCTTACCACGTCTTCTTTTCTTCACGCGTGTATTTGTGGGAGTTTCACTGCGAGAAGTATTGTCTGTGTTCGAAGTACTCTCAACACTAGAAGTGTCGTCCTATGAAACAAGAATCGTTTAAAATAAATTATTGACCTTTAAAATGCTAGGTTTGTATCAATATAAGTGCAATTCCAGATATATACATAAATCGAACTCACTGCTTCATTGTCAGAAAAATTCATAATTAACTGTTGATACTAAATTTCTGATGAAATTCACTCACAAAATTCCAATAAGTTGTAATAAAAAGTTACTTTGTCTAACAAATTATTTTATCAGCTGTTAGTAGCGTCTCTAACGTCAAAGTTATATTTTCGCGGGAGTCCGTTGACGGATACGACTTTATGACATTTTGTCTGAGATTGATTGAATAGGTTCTAGCAAATTTAGCTTCGATTTTTATATGTGATGGAAATGCAATAAGGAATGGGATATTTTATGTGTAATTTGTCAATATCTCTTTATTTGGTGCATAAATATACACTTTATGTTTTCTATGAAAGGATATTAATGGTGTTGTCAATTAATACTCACATTATAATTCATTATTTTCTATTTTAAGAAACAACACATTTTAGTCATTATAAAAACTTGGTAACAATTGTATACTGTCTGCTAAGATACTTTTTTAACTTAATAACTTGGTAACTAAGTGCTGAAAATAACATTGCAATGGTTGGTTTTATAATTATCATTACATCTACATTTTGATGCAATTTCACAGACTTCTTTCTTGGAAACAGTCAACGATAAATTACATATTATAAATCAATATAAAAGTTCCAGTGAAAAGGTAACAATTATTACGAGGCGATATGTTTAAGGGATTACTAAAATAAATTAATATGTATGTTAATAAAACCTAATTAATAACTAATTACGTAATTCACAGCCATTGTTTTAACGATAATTAAAAATTATATGTTAATAAATCCTAAGCTAATACTGATAGGTACAAATACAAAATACATTTATACAATATATTAACCTAAAACTTAAGAATAGACTCCTTTCGCAATATTACTTTGGTTTAAATGGCAATATTACTTCGGATTAAAGGTAACATTTTCTATTTACAACATAAATACATTTTACAAACTGGCCCATATCTTATAAGACTTCATATTTGTTAAAAATCAGTCCTGTTGTTTTTTTCATTGTTTTAAAATTATATCAAACAAAATTGCGTTTAAAATATGATAACATATAAAGCCTCTTTCATTTCTTGTATATGTTCGGAGGTGTGCACGTACAAGCGTGTCTCAGAGCCACTCGAAGCCACGGCATGAAGTGGTTGACTCTCGCGTACACGCCCGGGTAGCCTTGTCTGGCACAACCGCGGCCCCACGACACTATGCCTGTCACATATATAGAATTTGATCAGTAAAATATAAGATACTTATTATTATTATTATTTTTAATTATGTGTTTAAGGTATTTGCTTTTAAATTTAAAAAACATGTGACCGTATTAACCAGTACACAATTAATAATTTAGATACCATAAATTAAAAACTTTTCAATTCCAAAAAAATTAAACTTACTGTTTCTAAACGAAACTTTTAATAGTTTGATATAAAGAGTATGTTTTTGAACGAAGATATTCTTAGTTTGAAATGCAGACATGACATGACTTCTAGAACATACCAACAACAGTATAATGTGGTTGCGTCATCAACAGCGGCCCGCCGGAGTCTCCGGTACAGGAGTCCCTGTCTGGAGCGTTGGCGCACAACATGCGAGGGGTCACTTTTCTGCGGCCGTAGCCCGCTCCCGTGCATGCCTCTTGTGACCATATTTGTACTTCCGCCTATAAGACAATTGACATTAAACCATAGAGTTTTTTTTTTGGTTAAATTCGTTCCGTTCAGCACTGGCAGAGAACAAAGCCTATACACCAATATATTTTTAAATCATACAGATTAAAAGGATTATAGATACGAGCTTAGAATGTATTGCATAATTAAAGTAATAGTAATTGTTTTTTATTATATTGTATGTATGTAATACTGGGCTAATTTTAATTGGAAAATTTAAGGATATATTTTTTTGATAAGATTCGGACGATTTCAGTGATTTTGGTTGTTATATAGTAATATAAAGAATTAGATCGAAAAAAAGATTTGTTAGCAGGCTTAATAAACACGACTCTAGAATGTCTCATAAATTTTTATCAGGTTAACATTTTATATGAGTACGTACAGCTTAAAATATATCTTATTCAATAAAATTATCAATACTAAAAAAATAATTAAATATCTTATTTATATTCACACTAAGTGGTTTATTCCAAAACAAGTGTCGTAAAGCAGATATTAAAATTATTAGATTATACTTCTTTGTAATCTTACCTTCATAGGTATATCTGAAGGCGGACCCTTTTCCACGGTACTTCCCCATCCAGAGACAATAGCATCAACTCCCGCTAATGCATCTTCATCGTCTAGAAATTAATAAAATATACAAAAATATTTTAATGATCAATTAATTTTTAAATAATATTTTGTCGTTCAACTTTCTAAAACTAGTAAAATTATTAATTATCTCACTTTTACTTTAAAATTACGCCGTATTTGAACCTGTTTGATAATTATCAGTCATTCCTGTTACGATTCCAATAAAGTACCAAGTTTCTATATATCCTGGTGATACGTAATTAACATAAATATTTATTGACTGAGACTCAAGTTTTATGAAAGTTCGTAAACATAATTAATATATATATACTGCTTTGAATTTTATATTATATTGATGAGTAAATGTAATTATTACTTTATTAAATTTACCTGGCAGACAGGCGGGTCGGTAAAGGTGATCTGGCAATGCTTCTGCTAGTCGTAAAACAGCGATATCGTTGTCATACGTGTATCTATTGAAGTCTGGATGTTGGATAACATGCGACACCCTGTAGCCTTCGGATCTTGATTTATTAACGTTGTATTCCCCCACTAACACAGTCAGTCGGGAGGCTTCCACTCTGGTAACAAATAATATTATTTAAAACCATTGGATTTGGCTTTAAAATAAAAGGACAGAATGGTTGAATTTTAAGAGAATAGTAGGTTACGTCTCAAGAAAAATGGCCTTAAAGGGATATAAGGGGACAGAAATTTGTAAAAAAATACAGATAATAAATCTGTTATAGATAATAATGTATATGATTGGTATGAATAAAAAAAAATATTTAAATTAAAATAAAAGGTTTAATTGAAATTTAAGTTTAACATAAAATATATAAGTCGCTTATATCATACAATTTCTATGGCCTAAAATCCATTACAATTAATTTCGACTAAAACGCATTTAAATCTGGCGACTTTATTGAATCAGTCTAACAGCTTTCACTTTTAATTTTATCGTAAATGAAAATACTTTAACCATTTTCCTTTATTACTTAGGATTGCAATAGGTGTATGTTGTGTTTATTTAAATTAGCCACGCCAAAGACAGCTGTTTAGTAATGACAGTGACGAAATTGTGAAAAGGTGATGTCAATTCAAACATGTCCTAGACCCGATTTGACAGACGACCTTGGCACTACACAGATAATATAATACAAATTGCACAGAACTGCAACAGATATTATATAACGCGCGAATGTTTAACTGTTTATTGATTTAAGTAATCCGACTTTCTAAATTGTATTTAAATGTGTATTATCTTAAATTAAGACGTCTGAAACATTATATCTGTTTGTGCTCATGCAACTGTAGGTCACTTACATAATACAGAAGTAGGTCACAACTAAAGGGCTGATAAAATAAGATAAGACGTTTATAAATGGATAATCTTAAATGAAAAAAACTTAGCACTATTATTTTTACATTATTTTGAATTATTTGGTGTGATGGTATACTGTATACAATGTAATTTTAGTTTTATCAAAATTGCACGTAAGATTAAAAAAATAAGAAGGTTTTTGTTTCTTATGTTTTTGATTATATATAAAATTAAAAGAAAAAATATATAATAAAATCTTTTAAATGGAACGGTCACTTTTAACGTAAGCGGTAAAAGGAGGCGAAGGTATAGAATTACTCGGAATTATTTTGGAAAGTTTTTGTATCTTAATAATTGTTAATCAAAATATAGGTTACGCTTCATTACGGAATGTTCATGTTTACTTTTTAACATTTTACATATATCTTAATCTGAATTTATTTTAAAGGTAAGAATTAATTTATAACTCGATATATTTTAGATTACTGACCCACGTTTCTACACATAAATAATTTAATTCAAAGCTTTCGATATACGTGGCTTATATTAATTAATTCAAATTGTTTTGTTAACGGATAATCAAAAGGAGACTTATGACAAACGTTAGAGAAACTCAAGTGTTCATAAATGTATTTACATATAGAAATTATTTCTTTAGTCAATAATTATAGAACTTTCACGTGCCTTACCCTACTATTCTATTGTTTGTAGATGACAAGCTATCTCATTTTATATTCATGAATTATTAACATCAAATATCTGTTCATTAATTTCAATGATTCGATAATTTGTTACAGTAATAACATAAGAAAGTTTAAAATCAAGTTATACTTCGTCCATATAAGGTGATTCAGCGATAGTGGAACTTGTTGTAAATTCAATATTAAAAAAAATCGTGACCCGTTTTTGGACGAACAAGAAATTTTTACGCTGTATACAATATAATGATTATTTTAATGAATATATCACATAAATCAAATTACTCAGAACCCGTTAAATTTAGTGTGTCAGAATGTAATATAGCGCCATTAAGATCTCTGGAATGAAAACTTTTGATCATTTATATATTGTGCCGGCAATTTGTTATCGACCCAGCTTTAAAACACGGTCGCAACTTAAAACACACTGACCCAAATACTTTTAAGGTTTTATATTGATATAAAATGTGAATCAGAAAGTAGGTGCAATGTCGCCGTGTAATAAAACGATAAATAATTTATATCTGCTGCGTGAAATTAAATTTCTGTTACGATAAAACAGAATTTCGAATGTATTAATCAGATTTTGTGGATAAATTAAGTGTTAAAAGTAACTTACTCGTAAACACAATGCGTGGCTGTTATTAGATGGTCTCGGGCTACGACAGTGGCTCCACAGATGAGTTTTCCGTCTCTCTTGACAGCTGCTAGCCAGGGGAATTCCCCGGCAGTGACAGGCCCACCCCCCACCACACGAGCACCTCGGGCCACACCACAGGCTGGCAACATTAAGTATATTATTATAAAATAAGGCTCAAAAGTCAGTGGTCCAGTGGTTAAAAGGCTCGCCTCTCATGCTCGAGGGCGCGGGTTCGATCTTGGCCCGGGCAAGTAGGTACTAATGCGATTTTTCCGAGTCATATGTACTTTTCTAAGAATATTTAGACATCACTGATTAATGCATTCCCAAAGAGGGTTGATGTCATACAGGCGGTCGGTTGTAAAAACAATTAGCCAAAACTATTCACAACATGTAAGCAAGGGCGTCGCCAAGGGGGGGGGCAGAGAGGGGCAGCTGCCCTCCCCTAGAGATTCTAAAAAATTTGCCAAATATAATGCAACCAAAGTCCTAAGTATTTTAGTCGATTTGCTTGATTAAGCATTTGATTTACCTACAATTCACATCTACTTTTTTCATTCATAGAGAATGAGAAAAGTATGAATTGTAATCTGTAAAGTCAACTTGCCCCCCCCTGCGCCATCGGCTGGCGACACCCTTGCATGTATGTTGACAGACCCTGGCTATAGCTGAGAAATTGCCAGGTAGAAGAAGAAGAAAATAAGGCTCAAAAGGACTTTTATCCAGAGCTGTAAAAACAGTTACAAAAAAAAAAATGTAATTGAGGTACAATTTTTAGCTTAGTTAACAGTTGACTTTTTTTAAAGTATAAATGTATTGTAATAGTTATATTTTATGTATTTATAATTTGACGTTATTGTATTTACATATGTAGATAATATTTGTTGTAAATATAAATTCATATCTATTTTAGTTAATATTCTATTTAGTCTTGAGTAAAAATATTCTTGGGGTAGATGTACCTACTGATTGTTTACGTGCTATGATGTACAATCTTTTCATGGATTTTTGTAAATTTTATTACATTTTATTAAAAGAGAACTTTATTATACAGGATACATTATTTAAGGAGTATACTCGGTACATGATTCTCATTCGAATTATGTAAAAAAAATAGGTACTTAATTTTTAACCAAATTTCCGTATAAATAAATAAAGTGTGGACACGTTCCAAGTGTTCCAAGTGTGGACGCGTGCGGCGGCGTGCTGATACAACACCACGCCGAAGCGCGCGAGTGTGTGTGTGAGTGTGAGTGTATACCTAATCTGTAGGGTGTTCACACGATGCGTAATTAATTACATAACTTTTGTTTAACTTTACTTAGAAGTTTATTAATATTTATGTTATAATAATTTTTATTTCGTCATATATGATCGTCAAATATCACGTCCTCAAGTATCGATAGTAATTCACCAGTCACCCTGTATATATATTAATAAAACAGAATAAATAATTTGAATCATAATTGTTCTGTACGTAATGAATGTTAGAAATGATTTCTAAATGAAATAAAATTGATTATTTATATTTGAAACAGTTATTCCATTTTTATAGTTGTAAAACATTTTATGTAGCTCAAGTACACTTTAATATGCATTAAGAAGTTTCACACTTATAATTCAATATTTGCACAATAGAAAGAATGACACATAATATATATATACTTAAATAAAATAAGATATGTAAAGAAACATTTATTTATCGTAATTTGTAAGTGAAAGTTATGCTTAATTTTAAACTTGTGTGAGTTTCAAAAACTTTAAAAAGTGAAAAATATGTACTCGTATTGTGATATTTTTAAACGAAGCCACGCTTAAAAGTAAATAAGTAAAAGTACATCCTTATATTGTATTTGATATGGTAATGAGCGACTTTTCTATGTGTTCGAAAACTTTTTCCTTTGACCGTTTTACTAATATTTTAAGAGATTTGTTTTTACATAAAATAATGTGTTCTTGTGTGTTGCGAAATGTTCGAACGGCATATTTGGGTTAATTATCGGCGATAAAGAAAATGAGCATTCTTAGTTTTGGCGTATCTGTAATGGTATTCACGATTGAGTACGTTCTTGAATCAGACTGAAAATATACGAAGAAACTGTTAATAATCGTGAAGTGATTACAAAAATTTGAATAAAATTGAGATATTTCTTAATTTATTTCAAGTATTCTGAAGTTTCTTGAACGTCGATTGAATTTACAACAAGCAACATAGCAAGATAGCAAAGTTTTCAATCAAGGATCTATTTATAAAGTTAATTTATTTTCAATATTACATTTTTTATGAAAATTATAAACATATTTTTATATATTTATCACAGATATTTTTTTTTACGTTATATACTTCTATGCTTAGCGTAAGTTTGCCGTATCACATTATAAACGCCTTACTAGATTAGCATTCAAAAACTTACGCTACTACTATAATTAGTGAAGATATATGAATGAAATACTGTTTACTATGATTTAGTGACGATGCAAAGCTTGGTTATGTATAGACATAACTAAATAGAAAGATTCTTTAGTATATCAATCAGCAAAGACAGGTAGAAAATAATATTCTTTTATCTCTTTTTTATTAAATTAATAGATTCGATTCATATTAAATAATATTTGTGTCCTGAACTTTTAAATCTATTTATTACGCTAAGTAACTGGTTACAGCGAAGTTAACACTATGATAAACACACGACAATAACTATGCAACACTTTATGTAAGCAAGGAAGTAGGCTTTACAAATTTAGTGAAATAACTTATTCGTGTCTAACCTTAGTCCTAGTTATGAGTGACAAACTAAATACCGAGAGTATCAACGTTTAATGTATTATTTATTTTAATGTAACTTTAATATTGGCTGTTTAGTTGGAATCTCAATCGTTCTCTAATTACTTGTTATAAGGTGAACAAAATTGTTCTTTACATACTTTTGTTTCATAAAATTAATATAAAACAATTGAGAAAAGAAAACAGATAAAAATATGCAAAAAACAAACTGAGAAAGTGGTTCATTTAAAATGAATATAAATGTTGAATTTTTTAAGATGTAATCATTGAAGTTGTTTAATATTTTAAATAAATAACGAACTATGGCTTTATATATGTATAAAAATATATAACGATAATAATCAATTAAACATTTTAATTATTTCAACTGTTAAATATTAAATTAAATTGTATGAAATTAACATAAATTTCCGAACGAATATGGGTCACTCGTAAGAGATATAAAGCCATGAAGTGACAGCGAACCGGAAAGCTCGTATAATTTACAAGTGATTCACGCAACTTTGTATTACAAACGTACAATTGACAGATCTCTTATTTAAATTTAAATTATTCCGTTACCACGTGAGTAAACACGCAATTAATGAAGCCACAGCTTAAAAAAACAAGCAATTATAAATGACATTTAATGTGTCATGAATTTTCAAAATTAGAATATTTATGACATTGACGTGTAAAAAGTTTTCATGTAATCAATTGAAAAAAAATGTTTACAATAATTAAATTGTTTTAAATTTCAAACTTATATAAGTAAAGACGTTATTAGTTTGTTTTGTATGTTCTTACCACAAGTTCGAATCTCAAAATTCAATAATTTTAGTTTTTATCAATAATACTATCATACGTGACTGTTGTGTTTACTTTGAAGCTTCAAACTAGTGGTAAGGAGGATTTATGGACACTAATGTTTTGTGTACGAGTCGACTCTCTAAAAACACTCAAACGATATTGAATACGTTAATAAAATGACATAATATTTGAAAATAACTGAAGAGCTAGAAATGCATTAGTATGGTCAAGTGTCTTCAGTTGATAATTATATAAGATTAATTTATATGATATAAATTATAAAGCTTAGAAATCAAAGAAATAAATAAATGTGTCATATATATGACTAACATCTTTATTAAAATTAAAAATGAGTGAAAATTAGGTTAATTGTATGCAAAAGATTCATTTCAATATGTTTTTTTTTATTAAAAAACGTATAATGAAAAATCTTTCTTATAAACCTTTAATTGATTCGAAATAAAATATATTATAAATTCTATAATATTATTTAAAATTCTCACGAAAGGATATTCGTATTACAATTAAATCGTATGCTTACCTTAACACGCACATACAATAAACATACACAACAAACACGTACAAACACGACACATGTCGAATTTAAGCACTTATTATAATGTATTAGATGAATTCACTCACTGCATGGCTTGCAAGCGCTTGCCGTAGCGAGCACAGCTAGAAGGAGCAAGCTGCGTAACATTCCGTCGGTGTCAAAGTTCTGTCTGGAGTTGAGATGAGACGCCGGCCCAGCTATTATAGGCCGGGGGCGCCTCTGATAAGGCCCCAGGGCCACGGTCAGATTGGAAGCGGCTCACTGATACGCGACGACAGACAGAATGACACAACCGAAACTCAACTGGCTAGTGGCAACTGTACGACCCGATGGAGAGGTTAGTAATGGACGTTGGAAATGTTACTAAGAAGCTCCTAGTTTAATATGAAGGATTTAATATATAAAAAAATAATTTTCAACCTATTTAGAATGTTTACGTAGTAATTATGTGGTTTTCAGATTGGTAATGTCGGCTACAAATGTTTTATGGGAAGTTAAAATTGTTCATATTTGTCAATTTTATAAAAATAAAATTTGTAAAAATAATGAGATAAGACTTTCGCGAGTTTTATACATTTAAATGAAACTTATATTTTTTGGATATGCTACACGTGCTTTATTTGATGTAGGGAATATGTAGTTTTTTACAAAAATAAATCACACGAAGTAATTACGAAAAATATTAGTTTTAGTTCAATTTGTAAAAGTAGTTTAGTGTAAAATCTAATTATAATACCGGTGGCTTGAAATGAAATAATTGTAATACAATACCGGTGTATTTTTTCGAGTCTATACTAGAGTGTTTTAAAACAGATTATTAATGATTGAGTCACTATTAAATAACTGTTCGCTTCCGTATTTACGTGGAATTAATGAATGATAGTTTAATTATATCCGCTCTCCAAATCATTCAGGCTTTAATAATCGAATCTGAACCGATTACTCTTAGTTTAGTAAACTCGTTGAAACTCTTTGTACCATGCTTATATAGTCAAATAGAGTATTTCTTCTTTTTGAAGTCTTTTAAAAAGTTACTTAAGTTACTTCATTTGTCGTTAACTGGTTGCGGCAAAAGTCCCATCAAAATTGGTCCAGCCTTTCTTAAAATTCGCCGGAACAAATAGATAGACAAACAAAAATGTTAAGAATTTAAGGTATCGTATCGTATATATTTTATATGCGTTAACTGAAAAGTTTTTAATTGGAAATAAAAAATAGTCTTCAAATTTATTTCTAATATAAACAAATTAGTAAAACTCTTGGACTTTTTTCTTAACACATAAACAGGTAAAAATATTAGGTAATACATATATAAGCTCGCATATTTTTGTCATTTATGGTAATTCCTGTAATACGATCTATTAAACTCCTACGATTTATTTATACATATAAAAACTAAAATTAAAAAAAGTTTGTACAATAATTCTACTATCCCTTTTAATACATTTCTAAACGAGCCTTTGTTTTTTTTTAAATCAAAAACAAAATTGACATCGCACCTATTTTAATAAACTACCGTTAGGACGGAAATGTTTAAATGGCCAATACGTTAATTGGCCATCAGGTTGGGCCACGTTGGGCCAACATGTAGACGAGCCTTAAATAGTAACCTTGATATTTATTCACTAGTTCAGAAGTCGCAAATCATTGGGTCAATATGATTGTTATGAATTCGAAAGTTCCGTCGGTTAAAAATTAATGATCGCCCAATCAAATTAATTGCTGGATTGTGTTGGATTGTTTACTTTATTAGAGTGTCAATATTTTTGTTATTTGGTGACATTTATTACGTGAGTTATAGTCGAGAGCCGTTATAGTCTATAGTCCGGATATATTAAAACTTGTATATCTGATTAAATATTACATACTAAAGTAACGGAATCTATACAATTAGCTACAAGTTTCGCTATTCATCGGCATTTATTCGTCTTGATTAAGATGACACGTTAGTTTTCGGTAAAAATAATAATAATCAAATGATTTTAATTCCAAAGAATGCAATTCCATATTATAATAACATTAGAGGATTCTATTAGTAACTGTTTATATATCAAAATATATTGTTATTGCGAAAATATTTCTGTTTCTGCAAATACGATGTCTGTGACCTACATGCGCTATCAAATCTAGATCTCTATTTGAATTCTCGGACTCCTATGTTTACTAATTCGTTGTTTTGACGTTATATATATGGAAATTTTATTAAACTGACCATGACTGACCATGTTAGAAGCATTTTTCTTTTATATGTGAGGTTAAATAAATGTCACGTGACATATTGATTAGTTTTTGTTTTTTTTTAATTTAAGATCCAAAGAGTTTGGTATATAAAAAAATATATTTTAAATTATAAAATAATGCAGTTATATTTTTTTTACAAAAATTCAGTGCTGAATCATTTATATTCATCCAAGGCGTTAAACTAATTAATATTTAATAAACATAAAAAAAGACACAGAAATCCTTTCAAGGAAACGTAGAATTTATATGGATTAAAAAAAGTTAAGACGCATTAATGTTTAACTGTTATTTTTATATGTTATTTACGGCATTTGTAATATTTTTTTTTAAATATATGAATCTATGATTCTTTTGTTTTTTTACAAGACCTATTTTAAATGGTCACAATTTACATATAGAGCCAGTATAGAGGATTATTGATTCAGTTCAAGGTGTCCATTATTCTGATTAGTTACGGACAATGCAGGCAGGTCCTCACTAGTGCTGTTTACGTAATTCCTACGTCATCACCGGCTACCGGATGAACGGAATCTTGAATTAATACGTACGTTTGAACAATATTGAGCAATACTTTACGTAATTCCAGGACTCAACGTCGTTTTGCAATTTTTCGTCTCGATATTCGATTACATAGTCTTTTGCGCAGTTGCACTGACCTACCATAAAACTTTTAAAAGTTTTACGCGATTCGGCCACGAGTGTACGAACGCGTGTTGTTTTTCAAAGAGAAAGCCCGACCAATTATTCGTGAGAGCGGTGACATTTTTATTGCGTAATTTATAAAAATTTTCACAATATTTGAAAAGCTTTATCATTATTCATGCATTGAACCGAATAATTTAAATTGTTTTGATCGTTTAATTCTTGGTCCAGTAATCGGCGCCATTCCACTTTCGTATTTTTTCCGTCCTTTATGAGATTCTATAAGGAAATGTAGCATCGTTTAATTTAAGTTCAAGGTCATGTACTTAACCCAATTGATAAGATGCGTAAATATGATAATGAACACCATATTTAAGGTTGCGTGGGATGCTTAAGGAAAATTTTTATAACAGTACTGGCCTTGCGGTTAAGTGGGTGTGTAGATGGCACGGACCATTTGTGCCAAGGTGCAACCCGTATATTGATAACGGCAGCCTCCACTCAACGCTGAGCTAATGTATTGGCTATTCATCGGATACTCAGCTTGGTATTTTTAAGCTATAGCTTGAAATTATAACGGCAAAGAAAGGAAAGTTTATAACCAATACATTCATCTATCTATCCGTGGTGTTATTTTCAGTTATGCTTAGTGTTGAACCAATGCAAGAAAAGGCCAGAGACATGGTCAGTCTTGCTTTTGGTTTTGCTAAAATTAGACGGACTTGGTCTCAGTTTTAAATAATGAAAGAACAAGATACAAGACTGCAAGACTAAAACTGACTTTGGGCAACACTAGTTATGCTTATTCTTCTATAAGTGCCCTATATATTATTGTTTCTCTTATTCCTTAATATGAAAAATATTGTTTTAGTATAGCCGCTACATTTTATCGAAGCATTTTTGGTAACACTGTTACATATACAAAAAATTATAATATGAAATGATCAGTGACCATAGTAATAATATTTATTTATAAATTATTAATATTAATTGCAACAACGTACAAATTACAAAACGTTTATTTAATTCAATTAGCACTTTCTATAATACATATGGCAGTATTGTCCCTGATGTCACCGCCATTTTCATATGTCATCTGTTGATCTAGAGTTGCAAAACTGTGTCAGAACCCCGAGCGATGCATAAGGATGCGAAGGTCGATACCGCATATGACGATTTATTATATAATATATACATTTTTAATCTGTGTAATATTAAATTAGTTATTAGCGTTAACTAAAACTATTGATAGTAATTATTGTAATAAACTTTACCATTTTAGGATTATTTAATAAAGATTTTCTTATGATATAAAATGTATATATATTTTTTGATTTAATAATGGAATTGCTTCATGTATAGTTTGTAAGTAGGTTAAATTACTTATATTTGATTTGAAAATAAGAAATAGAAGTAAACTTTATTTTTGGTCACGAGATTATATCCTGTGAATGTCGGAAATCTAGGTCACTTTACTAATTAAGTTGTAGTGCTCTAACTAAAAAATATTTATAGGGACAGAGGAGCCATCTATATTTTTATCATATATTCTTTCTACCCGTAATTTTAACATTCAGATAAGTTTTCAATTACGGAAGTGTATCCGTTACAAAAGATTTAAAGGCCGTCATATATTACGCAGTCTTTAAGATTTTTAAGGTTGAAGATTGATATGAGAATAAATAAGATATTTCCTTCACAGTCATTACATAAAACAATTATCTTCATCGTCACCGTATAACAGATGTGAGACGTAATATTTGTACTGACAAGGATGTGGCAACGATTTGTGACACTTTAGTAGCATAATCAGCCTTTTACAGGAGGACATATTTCTTATTTGTATAATTTAATTTTTATCTTATTACTAGAAGACCTGGCGAACTTCGTATCGCCCTATAATCATGAAGTATCTATTACGTTTCTTTATTTATATTTTTGGAGTTTACCTGTAAGCCATAAATCTCCGTATTTTGAAGTGCGACAGAATGATTGACATATTAGTTACATAGTTGTCAAATCTAATGTCAAAAAAAAACCGTTTGTATGGGAAAAAGAAAAGGGCTGTTTTTATGGTTTTCCCAGTAATGAATCAATTTTTTTCAGCTTTTATACCTTCCCTGAACCTCCACGAATATTTCAAAACTAAGATAGGATAAATCCGTTCAGCTGTTCTCGAGTTTTAGCGAGACTAAGGAACAGCAATCCATTTTTATATATATAGAAGATTTTGTCATAATTAATCCTGGCATAAAGATTATTATTTTAACATTCATGTGTCACAGATTCGAATGACGTTTACAACATTTTTGACAGCTCAATTATACTTTTCATTATTTCACAAACAAAGTCAATTGATATGT